CACATACACACACAAACAGGGGTGAAAACATAACCTCCGTCACCTTCGGTGGCTGAGGCAATAATGGCAGCCTGTGCGTGATTTTCAATAATGTTCCTTACTCTTGAATCAAGTAGTGAAAAAGTATTACAAAGCGCACCAAAATTCTAGTCACTGTACAGCAACAAAGAGCATTATTTACTGAGAAATACCAATTCAAACAACAAGAGCGAACTCGGTGATTCAACGTTAATTTGTCCATTACGTTTATTCTCATTTGGTTTGTTTTGAATTTCGCGCAAAGCTACACAAGGACTATCTGCACTAGCCGTCCCTAATATAGCAGTAATGGAGTAGAAGGAAGGCAGCTAGTTGACAACCACTCACAGCCAACTCTTTTACCAACGAATAGTGGGATTGACCATCACGTTATAACGACCCACGGTTGAAAGATCGAGCATATTCGGTGATGGGGATTCGAACCCGCGGCCCTCAGATTGTGAATCGAATGCCTTAACCACCAGGCCAAACATTTTGAAACTTTACCTAGCATAAAACTGTGGAAATTGGTTTATAAGAAGTGTCATTAAATGAAACTATAAACTTTTATGAGCTTTCTCGCTTGCGTAAGGTTGGTAGAAAAGTAAACAAAACTAGAAGATTGCTCTCACTGTTTCTGACGATTAGATTATGTTCGATATTTACGATAGTGCATAGAGCACGTCACAAGTGTTTATATATTCACTAAGTTATACTCTATTATCTTTTTATTGTTACTTCCATTTAATTACAATTTTTGTTTTTTGTAATACGATTTAGGACTGATCTAAATCTTCTATGCTAGCCGCGAGATATTATTAGGATTATAGCCGAAAATAACGCAAACAGCGAGGGTACTCAAATGATGAAACAACGTATTGTAGTCATTGTAAGTAAGAACAGAACGTTAGTTTAGCTATATTCATTACTGGAATGAATTTTAATTCTGACCTATGTAGGTAGTTTGCTTTGATTAGATGTTCATTTATGTCTGAGTCCCAAAAGATTAACTAAGGATCCAGCAGTTGTTAAGAGTTTTCACTTTTATTAGGGTTCGAATCCCGTCACACCAAACATGCTCGCCCTTTCAGCCGTGGGGGCGTTATAATGTGACGGTCAATCCCACTATTCGTTGATAAAAGAGTAGCCCAAGAGTTGGCGGTGGGTGGTGATGACTAGCTGCCTTCCCTCTAGTATTACACCGCTAAATTAGGGACGGCTAGCGCAGATAGCCCTCGTGTAGCTTTGCGCGAAATGCAAAAACAAACAAACACTTTTATTAACTTTGAAGATTTGCTTTTTTTAATAGATTGAAAAACAAAATCATACTACATCAACTAATTTTCCTTTATTTTTCACATAAAACCAGAAACTAAAAATATAATCATTTATTTCGAAGCACAGGATTTTGCTACTTTTGCCAGAGATTAACCTCTTGAATAAACTTTCCTTCTTCTTCTTTTTTTTTTAATACACATTTATAACAATGTGGAGTTCACCTGTTTGGCCTTATTTAGTAAAGGGGCAGGTGACTAGTTTCAAGTAGTCAATACACCACATTACACAACACCTACTCGCCCAAGGGTCCTCAGAATTCAAGGTTGTTTTCCAAACAAAACAGGAATATATTCACCACGGTCACGTGCAAGGGCGCGACTTCGATTAGCAAGGACGTCATTTCGTTTCTTCTGTTGTATTTCAATGTAGTAATAGAAACATTAATGAAGGGAACTGATATGTTGCAAGTGAAAGTTATATATCATTCTAAGCACCCGTTGTAATCCTAGTTACAAACATTAATTAAGGGAACTGATATGTTGCAAGTGAAAGTTATATATCATTCTAAGCACCCGTTGTAATCCTAGTTACAAACATTAATTAAGGGAACTGATATGTTGCAAGTGAAAGTTATATATCATTCTAAGCACCCGTTGTAATCCTAGTTACAAACATTAATTAAGGGAACTGATATGTTGCAAGTGAAAGTTATATATCATTCTAAGCACCCGTTGTAATCCTAGTTACAAACATTAATTAAGGGAACTGATATGTTGCAAGTGAAAGTTATATATCATTCTAAGCACCCGTTGTAATCCTAGTTACTCTGAGAACAGATGGCATTTCTTACATCTTCTCAGATTTTTCGTGTAAAGTTACACATGCGCTTAGCCATCCCTAATTTTGTGCTGATAGATTAGATGTAAGGCAACTGATCAACAGCAATCACAGCCAACTATTAAGTTACTCTTGTCTGATTGAATGGCGGGATTTACCCGTCATTCTTATAGCGTACCCACTGAATGTAGAGAAAAAAGTCACAATTTTAAAATTTATGTTTAATAATTGTTAAATTCATTCCACTTGTTATCAATTTCGGTTATTAAGTTTCCAAAATAGTTAAGTTAGGAACTAATATTCAGGGCTGTAGATCAATTTGCACAATGACGCCCACGTGATGGATATTTCTTAATTAAATAGCACTTCAAACTTATTATGAATAAAACAAAAAGATCAAATTTCGTGAACTAATATCTCATTTCTGAGTTTGTTTTATAAAAAAGCTTTTGTGTTCTAAGATAGAAAATAATATGTTTTTGGCCCTTTAAAATAACAACAAAAGACCACTTTTACAACGGATGTAAGAAAAAAGTCACAATTTGAAAATTTGTGTTTATAATTTTTTAACTTCATAGAAGTTAAATTATTGAATTTTTCTACTCATTCATGTGATGAATGATCTCATATATACCTGAAAACTGCACTTGACTCTGCATTATATATAAATACATTTGTCAAGTTAACAGACTTTGTAAAGTGCTGTTTGATCAAAAAGTATGAATCTTAATGAAGAAATTGTTTGTTTGTAATTAAGCACAAAGCTACACAATGGGCTGTCTGTACTCTGTCTACCACGGGTATCGGAAGAAATGCTTAGATTAGATGATGAGTTAGTAAATTCAATATATAATGTACGAAATGTAAGAGTAACCATCCAGGATTATAATCCGAACTGATCTCATGTGAGATCAGGTTAAGCACAGCGTTCCTTAGGTCAGATGTAAAGCCAATTTCTTCAGGTAGTGGTAAACCAGGAGAGTAATCCTATTCATCATTTACATTTCCTTGTACAACAGTTATATAAGTTGTGTTATTAATTTGTGTATATCATGTATTTTTCATAAAATGTAATATATCATGCATCGTGCTATTATTACAATAAATAATTAACTTAAAAATGTTTTTTTTCTATTACTTTACATTGTATTTGGGTATTAAAAATATGTGACTTTTTTTCCGGCCACCTACCCCAAAGTGCAGAGTTTTTTGTTGTTTTTTTTTTTGCGATAACAAGACGCGAACCATGGACCCCCAGATCCACAGTCTGAGAACGCTAACCATGAGGCCACTCCCAGTTAAGTCCCCCCAGTGGAGTTCGATTTCCCCCTGGTGGACACAGCGGGTAGCCCAATGTGGCTTTGATTTGAAAACGAAATATACAGAAAACATCATATGCATAAGTTAAAAATGCTTTAGTTTACCTAATACGCGCAACATTTATTTATACTGCACAAACTTTGATGTATACTTAGCAAATATTTTAACATACTATTAGCTGCAGTGATTTTGTGAGAAATTACTGTCTTTAGCTGATCGTAACATAGACTATAATGTTGTATGTATTCTATTAAATGTCGTTCGTTACTTATATTCTTGAAATCCATATTTCAATATTTAATCGTTATAATCATTCAACTTAGCAGTAAAATCTGCAAAATATTCATAATCAATACCACTAGTATTAAACTGAAGTTTGGCTCTAAATGAACTAAGAAGGAATATAACAGACCAAGGAAAAACTATGCATCCAATACTAGAGCGTTGCTTGTTATAGGAAATATCCGAGGCTTAGGCTAAGAAACCAATCAGATTTGGCTACTGACAGTCCACAGAAAATTGGTTTTGAAAATATTTGTTTACGTGAATGCCTCTACTAATCGATTCGCAGTTGTTCAAAAACACCAAAAATTATTTCTAGTATCTTGCTACCAATTTTCTATCTGGGGCTCTGGACTTATAGGCCAGTGCTCAGAAACGTTCATGATTTAATAGTTTTCACAAATCATTTATAACCGAAGAAAAACTTGTACCTTATAAGATACAAAAACTATATTCCATATTTGCGGCTACATTTGCCATAAACTATGCAAATAATAATAGATAGGTTTTGTTTATAGTATCATACTACTTAGTATTCCTAGTATAATTTGTATGAGACTTAAAATGTATTTGTTATTTCAGAATATGTATTTTTGTTTTGTTTTGTTTGTTTTTGTTTTGTTTTGTTTTGGAATTTCGCGCAAAGCTACACGAGGGCTATCTGCTTTAGCCGTCCCTAATTTAACAGTGTAAGACTAGAGGGAAGGCAGCTAGTCATCACCACCCACCGCCAACTCTTGGGCTACTCTTTTACCAACGAATAGTGGGATTTATCGTCACATTATAACGCCCCCACGGCTGAAAGGGCGAGCATGTTTGGTGTGACAGGGATTCAAACCCGCGACCTTCTGATTGTGAGTCGAGCGCCCTAACCACCTGGCCATGCTGGGCCATTTCAGATTATATGTGGAGTTAATTATAACACCTTTTTTTTTTCTCTTTTCGTCTTTTCTTTCTTTTTCGTCAGTTTACAATTAAATGTTCTGTGGCATAAATCATATCTAATTCCGAAAATAATTACTAAATCTAGACAGTGGACGGCACAATTATAAAGTACGTTTAAACACAAGGAAAACAACAACCAAACTAATACTATTTTAACTCAACACCCGATTCACAAAAGAACAAACGCAAACGATGAATTCAGTCACCAGAATATATGACATGCAGCATTTTCCACATACTTTTACACTTACTGTATACGAAACCACTATTCATTGTGCATGTTAAAAGAGAAGGAGGAAACAAGTATATTGGCATAAAATAATCTTTATTTCTATGTTGGCAGTTGTTGGCAAGTTATAAAGTTGACATCATCACAGTTTACAGAAATACCTAGGAACTTTACAAATAAAACCTACAGTAGTATTCCAAAATAACTTTCTTGTAAATTAGTTATGCTATCACACTCTCATATAAACTATCGTTTTAAAACCTTAACCCAAAATATTAACAGATTTTTTTTTCACTGTCACAAAACTTTAACACCTTACCACTAACACTAACTACGAGCTCCAACTAGCAGTTGGAAATAAACAGAGCGACTATTTAGTATAACTAAACTAATTACTGATTTGTTTGTTCACGTTATTTATATATTACAATATCAACCTTTTATTGACATGATCAAAATATAAAATGAATAAATCAAAGACAAATACACCAGTAAAATGCTATGCGTATAAACTTTTGATCATGTGGAATTATATTTACTCAAAGAGTAGCTAAATTTGTTTTCGTTTTTCAAAAAAAAAGAGAGAGAGACACCTAATGACACTGAACTCTGTCTACATTAAGGTAACATTTCTGGTATGCTACATATTGTTGTCTATTTCTGTCATACGTCACTGATTTTTTTCAAAAAAGTGCTTAAAACAAATAGTAGATAAGTTGGGCTAAAGTTCAGTAAGCTAGGATATATTAATGTTTGATGCGCATTATTGGGACATTGGCTTGTTCTAGGTAGGCCCAAACTTCTTTGGGGTAGATGGAATAAGGATAATGAGCGTGCATCAAGTTTTCTTTCCTTAATTGTCGGTCTCGCCCACCAACATTTGACGTCTGAGAATTCGCCAGAAAGGGTTTCACTGTAGTAGTAGTGGGTTGTTTAGGAGTTGTCATAATAAACTGGAAGGTACTAGACGTGTTAGGTGGTTTAGAGGTGTTCAGTCCTACTGTTTGAGTATTTGGATTTTTTAACTTGAAAAATGGTCTATTATTCTCTGCTGTTGTAGTGGAAGCAGGATCTATTTTTTCAAGTCTTTCTGGCGGTTCACTCTCCGTGGGATTTCCGAATTTAGAACTCACGGTAGAAGGATTTTCAGTACTGTCTACATCTGTCATCAATTCATTAACAATATCATCTATACTTGTAGTCAAAATATCATTATTTCTCACACTCATAGATGAAACTTCATTTTTGTCTGTCCTAGTTCCTAAAACATCACTGTCCTTCGTATTTGTTTTAGAAACTTCGTTGATGTTCGTGTTTGTAGTTGTACTGCCACTATCGTTCCTATTTATATTGGAAAGTTGATCATTACCTGTCACGGGTTTCGTGGAAAATTCAGTATCATTTATATCCGTATTAATACCTTCATCGCTATTGAAAAAGCTCGTTGAATCTCCCTTTTTGATTGAACCTAAAACTGACCCTTTATTTTTCTCTCTACCGAAACGTTCGACAGAATCTAGTGTTTTTGATGATGGAAGGTTTCTACGATTAGAAAAAGGATAAGCTCTTTCAGGCAATGAAGATCTTGATTCTCTAATCTGACCTTCATTGGTAATGTCTGTAAGCTTTAAAATCGTTTTTGTTGAATCTTCTATTAGGTCGTTTGAAGTTGATGACCTAGTCTCGCCATTAATGCTCATTGTTGAAGGACCCCCACTGTGGATGTTCGATCGGGAAGTTAGTGGTTTAACAGAATTTGTAGTTTTGGTTGTTGTCGAAACACCATATCGTTTGCCGAACGAAGTTTGTGAATCTTCTGTGATTTGGGGGGCATAATTGGTATGATAATGTTCAGGTGAATATCTATTCTTCTTGGAAGCGTCTGAAAGCCTAGGCAAGCTATTGTGTGAAGAAACGGAATTCGTTATGATTTGAGATTCCTGTGGATAATCATTGTCTCCAGAAGGTCTCGAATTGTCCAAAGTGTTAGGAGGTTGGGCCTGCGACCAGCCGTCTGGATGTACGTCACCCCAAGCCTTATAGCCTAAAGGCCCAGCTTCATAATAGACAACACGGAGCTTTCCATATGGGTCTGTGTAACCATAACGACCTCGAACGACCCCGTTTTCGTCACGATACTCCTGACGAAAGGAGTGAGCTCCAAAGAGGCCTGTGTCGTAGCCGAAATTATATGTTCCTCTGTCTGTTTGGGAATGATATTGAATCGGATGGTGTACGTAGTCTACTGTTAATACAGCAGTAGCAGTAATCAAACCGACGAACGTAATAAACAAAAAATCCTGAAATACAAAAAAGAGGAGAAGTTATTCAACCATGAAGTGGCATTAGGCAAAACAAATTTTAATTTTTTACTCATTTTCATTTATCATATATTAAATAATATACGTCGAGTATCGTAAAAAAATAGGAAACCTTTTAAATAGTTTTTACTTTATTTTATGCTCTAAGCTAAAGTATACCAATTAACATTTTTTACTTTATTCTATGTTCTAAGCTAAAGTATACCAATTAACAGTTTTTACTTTATTCTATGTTCTAAGCTAAAGTATACCGATTAACTTTTTTTACTTTATTCTATGTTCTAAGCTAAAGTATACCGATTAACTTTTTTACTTTATTCTATGTTCTAAGCTAAAGTATACCGATTAACTTTTTTACTTTATTCTATGTTCTAAGCTAAAGTATACCGATTAACTTTTTTACTTTATTCTATGTTCTAAGCTAAAGTATACCGATTAACTTTTTTTACTTTATTCTATGTTCTAAGCTAAAGTATACCGATTAACTTTTTTACTTTATTCTATGTTCTAAGCTAAAGTATACCGATTAACTTTTTTTCGTTTGATCGTGGCTTGCACTACTTGAATTATTTGGTACTTTTAGAATGTATTGTTTCATTATACTCATTTGAAAATTCCATTTATATAATGCTATACTTTTTGGCATTTTTAAGAATACTCGTTTTATTGACGAGTCTTGGCCGTTCCGATTGCTGTATATTAATAATTTTAATACATGTGCACATGTTAAAGTAAGTCGTAGCCAACAGCCTTGGTAGAACTCAGTTAGATACTGTTTGGATGTTTTGAAATACGCATCTTTCATTACTTCGTTGCATTTTGGTTTCATTGCTACTTTTCTACTTAACGTCATTTATCTAGTATTAGCCCCCCCCCCTCAGTGGCACAGCGGTATATCCGCGGACTTATAACCCTAGAAAGCGAGTTTCGATATCAGTGGTGGGCAGAGCGCAGATAGCCCATTATGTAGCTTTGTGCTTAACTTCAAACAAACAAATTGACTACATTTTCAGGCGTAAAACAGGTGTGTATTTAGTGGACTTCCTCGTTAATGATTAATAAAGACATTTATTAATATTTCTGACTTGTTGCACAGTTGGAAGTGCTCATGCGTAACGGAAATAAAGATAGAGCAGTTGTTCATCAGACTCGTTAGCCTTGAAGAGCTGTGCAAACCATGTGACTTTTCTACCAGGATAGATCCTACTGTTTTATCTATATAACAACAAACAAATAACATTTATTAGACACGGATAATTGGTGTAATATTTCGGTTCTTAGTTTTCTAAATTATTTTCTCATAAAATGTGCACATATAACTGATGACGCTTCTGACAGCTTGATAACTAATAGCTGAGCATGCCTAATTGGTAACTGATAGCTGGTGATGCTTTCTACTAATTGTTAACTGAAAACTGGTGTTGTTATAGATTAATTGGTAACTGATAGCTGCTGTTGCTTCCAATCAATTAGTAACTGACAGCCGGTGATGCTTTCAGCTAATTGGTAACTAACAGATGATGATGCTATCGATTATTCGGTAGCTGATAACTGATGATGATATCGATTATCCGATAACTGATAACTGATAATGCTATCGATTATCAGATAGCTGATGATGCTATCAATTATTCGGTAATTGAGAGCTTGTGGTGCTGTCTTGTAATCGACAGCCGACGATGTTTCTCATCTGTTCAGTTCTCTGCGCGTAGGATTAGTGCTTCCAGAATATGATAAAATACTGGTTTGCGTCTCACTGTAAGTGGGTTGGATCTCATTTGATGTCGTTTTCTAATCTTTTGTACACTGACCCAGCGTTCGGTTGTTGATGAAAACATCTGATTCAACTTTATAGTAGGTTAGCCTTCGATTTCAGCCAGCTAGAAATAACAGATAGTGGGCGTTTGCTTGTATTATAAATGATGGTATGTCTTACCCAATGGTTTAGGAGCGATTTCACATATTTCGTATGACCCTTTGAGACACTTGGAGCTAATTCACAACAATCTACAGTGATTGGACAAATTCCATTTCTCCGGCAGCTCTCCACATGAGACCTTAAGACCTAGCCATGGTTCATGAACGATTTTGAATACTTTAAAATATGTGATTCATTGTAAAGTAACAACTAAGACAAGACTGTGCGAGGCCACTATAGGTAAAATGTGCATTTCAGATCACTTAACTGATCACAAGATGCTTAATTTTGTAAAACATTGAACTAAAGTGGTGATTGACATTATTCTATAACAATGATTTTCACCAATGAATCTTCTTTAATTGTATTATTACAAGCACAGTAGTTCCCCATTTCAAAATACTTAACCAATCGTCATGTGCACACACAAACTCGACTAGCAACGTTGATAAAGTTCATGCTAGAGAATGGAAATAGTAAAAAGAAATAGGAAATTAAAATAAGTGTTTTTAATCAACTTTTTAAAAATCAGAGAAGAAAATAATTCATCTTTATGGTAATCGGAAATTATAATAATCTAACAAGTTTCGCTTATTGCACAATCAAATATTGTGTGATCTCACTTAGCGAACATAATGTAATTAATAGATAAACGGTCTTTACAGATGTTTTTTTGTTTTACGTTGTTTTCTCGAACTACAGAGGTCTATTTTTGTTGAACAACAACTGGCTTCAGAAGGTTTTTAAGTCAGTTTCAAAATTTATGGGCGTTGCTAGGAGTTTCTTTCATATGCCAATCATGTTGAATAAAGGAAGCTTGAGTCACGGAGCTAATTTACTACAGGTAATGCAAATAAGTAACTTTGGTACATCTTAAACTAACACATTATAATATCTATAGATGGTGACTCTCAGAGAAAAAAACCGACTAAAGAGCGTTGAGCTTTTTAAGTTATTTTTATTATGAAGTAAAAATCATTTCTGAAGACTTTAACTTCCAGAGAGCCCCACTTCAGTGGCACAGCGGCATGTCTGCAGACTTACAACGCTAGAAAACGGGTTTCGATACCAGTTGTGGGTAGAGCACAGATAGCCCATTGTGCAGCTTTGTGCTTAATTACAAACAAACAGTTCCTGAGAAATATTTCTAAAGACTTTCACTTACTCAGGAATATTTCTAAAGACTTTCACTTACTCAGTAATATTTCTAAAGATTTTCACTTCCTTGGAAATATTTCTTTATGTATTAAGGGCCAGATGTTGGTGATAACGCTAAATACAAAGATTTAAGACTAAACCTTGTTATCACTTTTAACTCCCAGAGATTTAGATCGCTTGTAACCCTGACTGAATAATATAATACAAGATCTAGAAGATCAGTGCCTAAACATTCTATGCAAAATTTTCTCCAACTCTATCAACAAATATGAGAGGCATTGCTTTGTAACAACATACGTCAAAACAGAGAGTAAAACACGGCTTACGAGGAACTTTTCGTGACAGTGTTTTGAAATGAAACGCCCTAACTCTTCAGGGCAGTTTTTGTTTGATATCAGTATTTTCACCATTCTGTGTCTAAATAAATGAGATCCTCATCATTGTTTAAGCACCTTATTCAAATAGAAAACTACCAAGTATTAGGTCAAAATCTTTGTTCTAATTTGGTTAAATGTTTGAACATAATTCTGCTATTTGAAACTGGGAATGCATTGTCTAGTCAGCTTTCAATGTTTTGTTAAAGAATGTCAGAGAATCGTCTTTTGAAATAAAGGATAAATGTTTTAAAACCGTCAGTTGATAATTTAATGCCAGGAAATAAAACATAAGACAAGCACAGGAGAACGAGAAAACTTCGGCTTACCTGTAAACCTAACAAAGTAATAATACAATGAACCCAAGACTCACCTGGTTATACATAACAAAAGCCCCGTGGTTGTCTGCGATCGGTAATGTTGAAAATATAGTCGCTAGCAGGACTTAACGACAGGTCTTTCCACTGCACGTAAGTTTATAGGTTTTCAGAACATGATCGAACACTTTCGTTCGGACTTCTAACCACCTAGCAAGTCTCGGCTGTCCATATATAAGTTGTGTGGGTGTCCATTACTGGCAAATATCCAAGCATTTCATGTTGCCCCTCCTTTCTTTTTTCATTTCCCTTGCTGATAGCCCCAACCAAATACCTCTCTTAAACATTGCCTTTAAGGGTAAGGATTTTCGGCCACTACACGATAGTTTTATGCCCTTTCTTTCTGAGACTAACCTCATATGTCTGTGTTATCTGTCAGTCGTCAGCTTGAGATAGTGTAGACATTCACATTCTTCCCTTCTCTTTCATAACCCGATGATTCGCCATGTGTTTTCTGATTAACTATTTAATTATTAATAATCAAAATTTGTTAATCAGAGATTTGAAACCAATAAAAAACGTTTTTTGAAAACTAGTGAATTTGTTCAACTTTTCACTTGGAAATGATAAATAAATTGTAATTTGTAGTTTTTGAAACACCTGGATATTTGGTAGCGTAAAAGTATTAGTAATCACCAGTGACGTCATATGATGGGTATTATATAAATGGATGACATAAAAGAGACAGGTGAATAACCGAGTAGAACTAAATGATGATTATATTTCCATTATAGTGGTCAGTACTAACTGACATTTTTAACTATAACATTAGCCATGATGAAAGAATTAGCACAAAGGACCACAAGAAAAAAAAATCAACTATTCGAAAACGCTCGAGTTTCTGGATCTTTAAAAATTTACTTTAAACTATATTATTTCGAGAAATATCATAATTAACGTTATTTACCAGTCACCATTCAGTATGATTACTACACCACACTTTATTTCAAAAATGTTAACATTGAGAGAGAAAGGAATAATTATTTTTTCTGTAGAAGAAGCTCTTGAGAACACTGACCTTTAACCACCTGGTGACGAAAATTGATGTTTTTGAAGATCTTTTTTAGTATTGCAGACATGTTTTACATAGTTGTTTTTTATCGACCATTGCAGTAACATAAATCTTGTTTCCAAATATAGAAATATGCAATATTTCAAACTTTACATGAAATTATTTCTTACATATTTGCCGAAGTTCCGAACAATTTTTTTTTTGAGGTAACAGCAAACAAAACAGCATGTAATGTTGCATAGCAACGAAACATCTTGTGTCATTTTGTAATAGGCCTTGTCTAGAATTAAGCGAGAGGTTTTGTGTTCCACCTCACAGCACATCAAGTAACCACAGAGTTAAAAAAAATTGGCAACCTCCTAATTTTAGGTTCATGGAAAATTTTAGTTTTATAGAGCCAGTACTAGTATTGGGTTTAATTGCTTTGCATAAAGCTACTCAAGATTTAAAAAATAATAATCTCAAATTAAGCCACGCAGAACTCTTGAAAGCTCAAAGTTTTGAGTTACTTGAATAAGCTGTAATTCAAATATTATGAGTTTAGAAATATGTATATGTGTGTGATCATTTATATTAACGATACGAATTTCATTAAAATAAGATATAACAAAGGATTACAAAAGATATAAATTTAATTGTAGCCGAGCGATTTTGATGCAGATATGAAGAAATACCAGTCGAGGAGGGGGAGGGGGTAAAAAATGCGAAGGCGCCACTTTCGATTCAAGGTCAAGAAACTTTCTTTTTCAAGAACCAGTGCCCGTGGGGCTAGTGAAGCGCTGCCTTCGTTTTTCGCCTATCGAACAGTTATTAAGCCATATTGAATTTGTTGAAATTTGAAACATACAACAGAATTTTGTGAAAACAATGTTTTAATAGCGCACAGATACACAAATATACAACCTGTTAGCCGCTGTTAGGATCTTTTTTTTGGATGAGAATAGCTTTCTAGGTATGACCATCTGATTAATGAAATAATACTTATCCCTATCTTGCTATACATGTATAAAAAACAAAGAAAAAATAAGCACTAAAAAATCAATAGTGTTGGGTGATATTTCATCATATTTAATTTTTTCTTGAGTGCCTAAATGTTAAATAAATGTTTAAAACTTTCGCTTACTTACATTTACTTTCACAAAATAACTGAATCATGTTCTCGATATTGATCAATATCGAGCTGTTACGGAAAAAAGTTTCAGTAAACTCGTACTAGAACACATTTTTTACCTTTGAGTGAGAATAAAAGTTTAATAAGCACTAGAATAGAGTGATAACGTGTTTTATCTGCCAGAAAGAAATAATGCTTAATTAGCACTAGAACAGTACAATAACACGTTTTGCCTCTCAGGGAGGATAAACGTAATTAGCACAAAATGCGCGCATTTTTCGAAAGTTGGACGATAGGTGGCAAATAAATTTTACAAGCTCGGCGTTTTATGTTTAATAGAAACAATGCTATTGAAAAGAGAAAACCTAAACTGCTGACTCATTTTAAGTGTTTTTCAAACTCTAAAGTCACGCATGACCATTGTAGCCAATTTAGAGAAGTGGCCAAAATTTCAAATCAACATATACAAACATATGAGAAATGCGTCAGAATTATCTGGTGGACATAACAATTCGTTGTATAGTGTGAACAGGAAGGATAGTTAAAATAGTTTTAAGCATAGTAACTGTACAAACTTTATTGTGTTGTTTATAATTTTACATTTTTGTTGTTGTTTTTTCCGATTGAATGTAACAAAATAAATGTCCAAGTTGGGTGCAGATTGAATGGTTTACCAGCCGTTTGATACAAATTTTCCAAAATTTTGGTAACGTATTGTGACTGATTTACTATAACATATATGTTTTAATATCAATATTTGTTGAAATTAAATTTATATTTAGAAATGTCCATAACGTATACTGTTAAATATGTGTTGCGAAACTCCCGCCTATTCTCTAAAGTTGTAGAAGATTCTCAAGTGTAAGAATCAACAGCATATACATGTGTACGTAAACGCTAATGTAGCTTTGTATTGTTACATAATCTAAATTTTCGAGAAACTCTCCACACACCTATAAATATAACCAACGCGACGCGCCAAATAACAGTATCTATGCTGTGATTGGTGCGCTATAAACTATAAACATTGCAAATCATTCAACTTCAGTGGATTCACATCAGACGTTAGTACTTTTCGAAAACATTACCTAACGTCATCAGTAGAAACTCGACCTGTAATCGGGGTGCGATAAGCGAGAACTACAGGGCCAACTAGCTCCCTGTGAAGTGAATTATACCTACATCAACTCGAAATTAACTCGCTAATCGTGAACCCTCGATAAGACATCAAGGAAATTCCAGACTAGAAAGAAGACTTTATATTGCTAGTAAGTTTGTAAAATTTTTGTAAATAAATCATTGTTTGTATTAACTATTTGTAAATTGTATTGTTGGTTTTTGTCATAACTGTTAGTGTAAATTGTATTGTTGTTTATATATTAAAACATTTGTATTAAAAACGAAACTGTGTGTATCAATATTGTTGGCAAATATCATAAATTTTATACATATCGGCATATATTTAATTTCTAATTTTCTAAATCTAATTTACAATCTAACTCAATTTCAGGTTATCTGAAATTCTAATACGTAACAGTACATATATAGTTTACTTGCATTTATTAAGTTGTTTCTGTTATTCTCAAACTCAGTATAGCATTTGTTTCTTTTATTCTCAAACTCAGTATAGTATTTGTGCTGGTCAAGATTTTGAAGACATTCACATTTGGTTTCCCATCATAGTCATCGTCGAAATTAAGTTGGACCCGGAATGTCCAGGTGGTTAGGGCGCTCAACTCGCAATCTGAAGGTCGCAAGTTCGAATCTCCATCTAACCAAGCATTTTCGCCCTTTCAGCGTGGGGGCGTTATAATGTGACGATCAATCCCACTATTCGTTCGTAAAAGAGTAGCCCAAGAGTTGGCGGCGGGTGGCAATGACTAGCTGCCTTCCCTCTAGTCTTACACTGCTAAATTAGGGACGGCAAGCAGAGATAGCCCTCGTGCAGCTTTGCACGAAATTCAAAATAAACCAAACCAATTAATTTTAACCTGTGACAAATTCTGTACTCTCGCTTTTAGACGTCATCTGTTCGCATGGATAAACAATGGACCGTTGATATCATGCAACCTTTTCCACATCAAGGAAGTGTAAATTGATTCCCAAGGTGCGTTTTTGATAGTACGAATTCGTTCTTTAAATAACAATAACTGACTAAGACAGATATTTTCAAAACGAGACCCAAAACACGAATACTTTCGAATATTGTCAACTATTCAAAAGCGCTCGAGTTTTGAGTCTCGTTTTGAAAATATTACAACCTTTGTAGGTGATCCTGTGTGCTAACTATTTAACCTGACTTAGACAGATATTAGCCTACACGATAAACGTAAAATCAACGTGCGTTAAATTAATCAGTTTCAATAATAGGTTTTTCTGTAAAAACCTGTGTATGGTAAAGTTATATACATGGGAAGTTTTGGCATGTCATATCTCATTCTCAAAGATTTGTATAGTTTCGGAAAACTTAACAGTGTTCTTGAAAATATTGTTTCATTTGGTCGTTGTTTGGTCATGTGACCTGGGAGGATCAGATACACCTGGACCTCTACCTTCCTCCTTGACTATTGATTTGGTTCTTGAGTGTTGGATGAAGCCCACATTAATTCTTCAGTAGAATACGGTCCAGTAGCTAAGAAAACCCGTTCTTACATCATGCAGTCACTGCATAAGTCATTCGTACACGCGAGTGACCCTTTCCAGGCCGTGTCTATGAATATATAACTTCGATTTTTTTTAGTTTTCTTACATAAACTTCTCTCGTTTTTTTTTTTTTGTTCATTGTCAACACAAACATGAACTGTTCCATAAATATCAATTGAAAACGTATAGCACTAATCCAATTTTCACACAACTAAACGCTTTTAATATGACATTAACACTATATCTAGCTACCGGTTTGCCCAGTAGTAGGTGGCCATAGATTACATAAGGAGTTTACCAGATTTATTGGTGAGAAGTACTTAGGTCTATTATTATCATGTATGATAAAGTTTTTCAGCAT